CAAGGATGTAAAAGACCTGTACTTGGAAAATTATAAGATACTGAAGAAAGATACAAAAAAGTGGAAGCACATACTATGTTCATGGATAGGAAGAATTGATATCATTAAAATGTCCATACTACCCAAAGCAATCTATAGATTCAGTGCAATTTCTATCAAAATACCAATAGTGTAGTTTACAGAACCTAGAACAAATATTCCAAAAATGTATGTGGAACCACAAAAGACCCTGAATAGCAACAGTGATCTTGAGAAAGAAGAATAAACTTGAAAGAATCACACTACCTAATATCAAACTATACTCCAAGGACATAGTAATCAAAACAGCGTGGTACTGGTATAAGAACAAACATATAGATCAATGAAACAGAATAGAGAATCCATAAATATACCCATACATTTATGGTCAATTAATATTGGACAAAGGAAGCAAGAATATACAATGGGGTAAAGAAAGTTTATTCAATAAATGGTGTTGGGAAAATTGGACAGATATGTGCAAAAAAAGAAAGAAACTAGACCACCTTCTTACACCGTACAAAAGAGTAAACTCAAAGTGTATTAAAGTCTTAAATATAAGACTTAAAACCATAAAAATTCTGGAAGAAAACATAGGCAGTAAAATCTTGAGCATTTCCTATAGCAATATTTTTTCTGATATATCTCCTTGGGCAAGGGAAATGAAAGAAAAAATAAATAAATTGGACTACCTCAAACTAAAAAGTTTTTGCACAGCAAAGGAAACCATCAACAAAATGAAAAGACAACCCACCAAATGGGAGCACATATTCGCCAATGATATATCTGATAAGGGATTAATATTCAAAATTTATAGAGAACTTATAGAACTCAAGGCCAAAGAAACAATCTAGTCAGAGGACCTGAATAAACACTTCTCCAAAGAGGACATATAGGTGAACAATAGGCATATGAAAAGATGCTCATGTCACTAATCAGCAGAGAAATGCAAATTAAAACCACAATAAGATATCACCTCACATCTGTCAGAATGGCTATTATCAATAAATCAACAAACAACAAGTGTTGGTGAGGATGTGGAGAAAAGGGCCTCATGCACTGTTAGTAGGAATGCAGATTGGTATAGCCACTATGAAAAACAGTATGGTGTTTCCTCAGAAATTAAAAGTGGAACTGCCTTATGACCCAGTGATTCTACTTCTGGGTATATACTTGAAGAAATACAAAACACTAATTTGAAAGAATATATGCACCCTTATGTTCATTGCAGCATTATTTACAACAGACAAGATCTGGAAGCAGCCCAAGTGCCCATCAGTAGAGGAGTGGATAAAAAAAGCTGTGGTGTATTTACATAGTAGAATACTATTCAGCTATAAAACATAAGGAAATCCTACCACATGCAACAGCATGGATGGACCTGGAGAGTATTATGCTAAGTGAAAAAAGCCAGGCAGAGAAACAAATACCATATGATTTCACTTACATGTGGAATCTAATTAACAAAATAAATAAACAAAATAGAAACAGACTCATAGATACAGAGAACAGAGTGACAGCTGTCAGAGGGGAAGGGGGTTGGGAGCTATGTGATAAAAAGTCAAGGATTAAGCAAAAAAGAACACTCACAGACACACACAACAGTATGGTGATTACCAGAAGGGAACGGGGGTCGGGAGGTAGAAGAGGGTAAATGGTGATGGAAGGAGACTTGCCTTTGGGTGGTGAACACACAGTACAATATACAGATGATGTGTTATAGAATTGTATGCTTGAAACCTATATAATTTTATTAACCAATATCACCCCAATAAATTCAGTAAAAATTTAAAAATTAAAAGAAAACAAGTACCTGAAAAGGGGGAAGGAGAACCAAGAGTATGAAGTATTACAGAAAGGAAGAAATTATTTCAAAATGGATAATCCAGTAGATTGTGCTTTATTGAGCAGTATAGGTCATCCTACAATCAAATTTGTATGGAAAAGGTATTTTTCTTCCCATCACTAGTCAATGAAGATAGATAAATACCAAAAAAAAAGAAATAGAGAGATCTAAGAGATAGTAAATTAATTTCTTGTGGTTGATAAATGATTTAAATTAGTAAGAAGACTTCATTAAGCATGGCAGATTGAATATATGCTTCTATCTCTAATTCATTTAAAATCCCCCTAAAATCATGATAAAGGACAGGAAACTGGTATAAACTAGCTAAGATAAAGAAAATGGGAGAGGAGACACTGTGGAGCAGGGGGGGAAATGTCAACCAATGGACAAGTGACAAATGAATTATCAGAGTTGAGGAAGTTAATATTTAGGTGCCTGCCCTGTAGAACATTGGGAAATTGGAGCCCCCCAAGTTTTGTCAAAGGTGAGAGTCAGGCTGAGAGCTAGAAGCAAGGGAATCAGTTGAAAGTCTGTGTAATAGACATAGACAATCAGGTCCCCACACCCACAGCATGCAATGGATGATAGAATAAAAGTATTGAAAGATGTCAGGCGATTAAATAAAAGTCTGTACATTGAACTGTGAGCTAACAAAGGCTTTTTCTGGCCTGTTCAGCTCCAAAAAGCCTGCAAGAACTGATAGCCCAAGGCAGACAATGAACTCCTCAAGAAAAGAGCTATAGTGATAACTGGGGGGTCCCCAAGGAAGATGCTGGCTGGTCATCCTGTTGCCCTACAATAAGGCCCATCAGTAAACAATGTGGGCCAATACGCATGAAGCTTCAAGAAGGATAGAAAGCAATCCAAACAGAAGGAACTCACTGGGTACATAAATAATGGAGAGGGCAAAATGAAAAAAATGTGTGCACTATAATATCCTTAGCAAGATATAAAGACATGTTGAACCCATGAAGCAAGATCTGGATGCAATTTTATAAAGAACATTCAGAGACTAAGAAAAAGCTCATAGATATTAAAAATATGATAGCTGGAATAAAATATTCAGTCAAAAGTTTGGAAGATAGATGGAGGTGGAAGAAAAAGATAAGTAAGGGATAAAAGACCAGAGGCTTGATACTATTCTATCATACATCTATTGGGAGTCCCAGAAAGAAGAGGGTAAACAGAAGGGAAGAGATTATCAAACAATATTCTCAGAATTGAAGTACACGAGTTTTCAAACTGAGAGCAACCATCAAGAACCCAGCAGGCCCAGCCGGGCGTGGCTCAGCGGTTGAGCATCGACCTAGGATCCAGGCGATCGGGGTTCGATTTCCGGTCAGGGCACATGCCCAGGTTGTGGGCTCGACCAATTACTCTCATCATTGATGCTTCTATCTCTCTCTCTCCCTCTCCTTTCCTCTCTTTTAAATAAAGATATATTTAAAAAAAAAAAAAGAACCCAGCAAACTAAATGAAAAATATCTTAAGACACACCATATTAAAACATCAGGATACCAGGGATAGATAGAAGATCCCAAAACTTTCTAGAATGGAAAAAAAAATCACATAACTATGATATAACTAAGGGGAAGCTGGAAAAATACACATAATAGAAAGTCAGCAGTTTTTCTAAAACTGATAAACTAAGAAATAACAATGCAAACATATTATTTAGAGCAAGGCTTCAACCGGCACCCTGTACATTGTTTGTTGTGGGGACTTTCCTGTGCACCGTGGGATGTTCAGCAGCATTCTTGGCTTCTACCCATGAGATGCCAATAGTGGCTCCCACTTTCAGTCATAATAATAAAAATTATCTCCAGATGTTTTCAAATGTCCTCTGGGGAGCAAACCTCTGTTGTTGAGTACTGCTGATTTAGAAAAATGGAGATAAATGGTGCAAAAACAGCTAAAAGTGTTGGAGGTGAGTACCTCTGGGGGGTGGACCCTAGAGATAAGGCAGAAGAGTGCTGGCTCTTCCTCAGAGACTTGTTGTACTTTGTTTTTTAAACTATGGACATGCGTAGAGATAAAATTTGTGTTTTTTTTAAAAGACAACATTAAAGTGTTTCATATATTATTACATATGAAAGAGGAATGCTTCCCCAACTACTTTTGCTACAATTATTTTTTAATAATGTGACACTGAATTAAGTGAATTTTCTAGCTGCCCCAGATGTTTGGCTGAGGCCCCGAAGCAGAGAACAAAAGTTGTTTATTGCCTCCACATTCTGAAGAGAGATTCCGGACCATCTATGCAAAACTATGCGTGAGACAAAGAGACTGGTGTTAGATTTGAAATGAGGATTTTCTAGAGAATTTTCTAGAGGTGAAAGCACTATGCATTTCCTCTCCATCTAAAGTCAAGGAAGGAAGGAAGAACTGCAAGACAACCACTCAGAGCATGGGACATATGTCCCCTGGAGTTTGAGGGAAATATTGCCTAATTATTGCAATAAAAAAAATCTGGTAAAAGGGTGTAAACTGCCTATGAGAGCAAAATAAAGAGAGAGCTGTCCAGTGTGCATGGCCTGCACTCCCAAATTTTCATGGGTGAGATGCCAAGCTTTCCCTTTGGATAACTGAGTGCCCAGAAGGCAACCAGGCTTGGCTCATTTGCAAGGTACCTGCCCAAGAAGACTGCCTACAGGAGGAGCATATGCCAACAGAAAGAACCTGGAAGCTGTAAGGGCAGAAGCCAGGGGGAGGGGGCTTTACATTGGCCAGGGAATGGTACAGTGGGAGTTCCTTATTGAAAAGGGGTCCCTAAAGAACCCACAAAAACAGCCCATTAGAGAAACAGCCAGCATTTGGGCATCAACAGCAGATTACAACTGTGCCAGTCAAGTAAGACTTCCTGCCCATATCTAAGTTGGGAAAGAATAAAGCAGAAAAAATATATACCTCCTGGCAAAGTGTGGATGTAAAGGGAAATTCTCAACCTGGACTCTCTAAGCACAAAGGTAGTATTACGTGTAGGTTCGGGGTGGAAGGGTGGGCTGGCTAAGACACTTCTGCTTAAGTTAACATGATTTTCATTTGTTCATCAGAGATAAAGAACCAAGAGAAAAATATATATAAGCCTCTGTTTTCTAATGATCTTCCTATTTCTGTTTGGTATTTAATCCCACAGGGTTAGCCTTTGCGATGTTGGCAGCTGTGCCTCCAGTGTTTGGCCTGTACTCCTCCTTTTACCCTGTTATCATGTATTGCTTTTTTGGAACCTCCAGACACATATCGATAGGTAAAAGCTTATACTTGATATTCTAGTACCTTTCATTTTGAAATGTGCCAAAGAAATAGCATGTTTGGTATTAGAGCATCTGCTTAATAATTTGTTACTGCATGCCCAATAGGTGCTTTAAAAAAATACACTCCCCCCAAGATTTCTAGAACTAATAGCTTTCTTAAAATCTTGGCATAATGAAAAACAAAGACAATTTTCTTGTGTAAAAAGAGCAGTTGTTAAAACCTGTGAAGTAAGTGCTTTAGTTCATAATACAATTTGCTTGCATCTGGTTTTTCTTTTTATTTATTTCATTAGTGGCACTGCAAGTTCCTAATTGCTGCACATGTATTGCACTTTTATCTGATTTTAGGCTCTGAATTGTACATGGATTCCCTTTAATGTATTTGGTGTATTTAGGATCAGATTTATATGGATTTCATGTTAGTGTTGGTGCTGCATGAGGCTGCCACCAGCAAACACAAGCACAATGTTTGAGATGTTCATTCCTAGGTAACAAACATCCCCCAAATTTAGCAGCTTAAAACAAGAATCATTTCATCATGTCTCACAGTTCCTGTGGGTCAGGATTTGGGAAAGGCTCATCTGGGCAGGCCTGGTTTAGGGTCTGATGCAGTTGAGAGTTAGAAGAGAGCTGGGGCTAAAGCAGCTACAGGAAGCCTGAACCTCATCCTCTCTCTTGTTTCCTCTCACCTCCTCCTCTTCCCCTCTGTTCCGCTGTCTCTCCTCTGTTCCCCACTCCTCTCTCCCTTCTCTCCATGTGGTCCTAATTGGAGCTTTCTCACACTCAGGGCTCCAGCACAAGCAAGTGTAACAGCTCTCGGGTGGAAGCTGCATCACCTTTGTTGCCTAGCCTCAGAAGTCAACAGTATCACTTGTGCTACATTCCTTTGGTTACTAGTATGTCACAAGTCCACCCAGATTCAAGGAGACAGAAATTAAGAATTAGTCTACCTCTTAATGGGGAAATGTCAAAGTTCTAGAAGAATCTGTGGGATGGAAGATACCATCATGGTCATTTTTGGAGAATACAATCTGCACACACACAATTTACATATAAACCAGGAGCAGTGGTTTAATGCTTAAGGAGAACAGTGCAATTTTATTTCAATGATGATTTATTGACCTTACCTGTGTTCTCTAGAGTACTGGCAGCAATCACATCAGATACACTGCAAATGATTTGCTTGATTAATGCTTCACTGTTTCAGGTCCTTTTGCTGTTATTAGCCTGATGATTGGCGGTGTGGCTGTTCGGTTAGTACCAGATGATATAGTTATTCCAGGAGGAGTAAACGCAACCAATGGTACAGAAATAAGAGATGCCTTGAGAGTGAAAGTCGCCATGTCTGTGACCTTACTTTCAGGAATCATTCAGGTAAGACTCATGGATGGGGAAATGGGCTCTCATTTGTTCATTTCATAAATATCTATTGAGCCCTCTTGGCTGGTCTACATGGTGGGTAGGGTCAGCCTGCAAGAACCCAGAGCTCAGAGTTCATAGCACTCAGGAGCACAAGTCAACTATATGCCTTACTTAAATTGATATTTTTAGGAACTAGCAAGCCTCAGGTGGGTACTTTAGAAATTCCAAAAGCAAGAAAAGCTTGAAGCAGGATTGGTTAGTAAAGGGAAGAGGGCTTCTTTTATCTGCTTGGAAGGAACAGGAAATGACATTGACTCAATGTGTCCTCAGTCTGAGTGTGCCCGATGCTCTTTGCGACTCCGAGCCACTCCCAACCATCCAATGTTTTCTGTATAACCAGTGATTGATTTGTTAGCTGCTTAACTGCTGCAGGTACAAGTTTGTAGTGTTAGAAAGTGGTCCAGAAAGAAATTTGTATGTTTTCCGTTGGTTTTAACTTCCTGATCTATCATATGATTTATTTGTTTCTTTGTCATTAAAAAAAAATAGTTTTGCCTAGGTGTCTGTAGGTTTGGATTTGTGGCCATATACCTCACAGAGCCCCTGGTGCGCGGCTTTACCACTGCGGCAGCTGTGCATGTCTTCACCTCCATGTTAAAGTACCTGTTTGGAGTTAAAACAAAGCGGTACAGTGGGATCTTTTCAGTGGTGTATGTAAGTAAGCAACTTACTGCTACTAGTTTTTCCTTCTTTATTTTTCCTCGTTGTCTTCTGTATCTCTTTCAACTTCAAGGCTCACTTTCCTTTTTTCTAAGGATTTTAATTAAATGGAAAGCATTCAGTTATTCTAAAGCTTTTCTGAAAAGAGCACTACAAAAGGAATTAAACCTTAAAGTCCCATTTTATTAATGTTCATGAAACTGCCTACCTTACAAGGAATTTTTTGCTAGGTCTTTATTTGGTGGCTACACCTTTACCCTAATTAGCTGAAAAGACAACTTTTTCTTGAGACACAATTATGTTCTCTTTGGGAATAAATAATTTAAAGGCATTATGGGAGAACCTGTCTCTGTCAAAAACTGCTTACTCAAGCAGGCAAAAAAAATAAGTCTATAGGTGCCCTCCTTCCCGGGAGCATGACCTTGCCTTCCCCTCCCCCTTCCCCCTTCCTCTCCCCCTTCCCCTGCCCTTTCCCCTTCCTCTTCCCCTCCCCCACAGGCAAGTTACCATTAGCTTACTCACTCCCAAGCTCCACCCTTTCTTTACCTCTATGACTTGTTTCCTAAGCCAATTTCTCCTAAGAATTAAAAATAGCCCGGCCGGGTGTGGCTCAGCGGTTGAGAGTCGACCTGGGATCCAGGCGATCAGGGTTCGATTGCCGGTCAGGGCACATGCCCGGGTTGTGGGCTCAATCAATGACTCTCTCATCATTGATGTTTCTATCTCTCTCTCCCCCTCTCCTTTCCTCTCTCTGGAATCAATAAAGATATATTAAAAAAAAAGAATTAAAAATAAATAAAATTTTTAAAAATTAAGTCTATTAAAGATTTGACTAACTCAATTAACCAGTTTAATCTAATAAAAAATATACAGACCCTTGCACCCGACTCAGAGGAAATATAAATTCTTTGTAAGCACATAGGGAACAGTGGTAATAACCGATCATGTTGAAACTTACATGTGAAACTGATCACAAATTCTAAAAATTTAGTAATTTTTTCACAGTGTAGTATAATTAGTAATAACTAAATATAGCTTTAAAACCTCCAAACATTTAGAAACAAAAAAACCTATTTCTAAGTAACCCATGGATAAAGGAAATTTTGAAATAATTAGAACAAAATGAGTTAAAGTACTACATATTACAACTTCTGAGATGCTGTTAAATCTATTCTTAGAGAGAGAAACCTGTAGCCTTTGTAGGTATTTATGTGCCGACACTGTCCTAGACACAGCAGTGAGTGAGCAAAACTTACAGTCCAATGGGAAAACAAATAGTAAACCATTAGTTGCATAAATGTGTAATTAATTACAAATACTGTTTGATGCTATGAAGAAAAGGCACTGGCTACTATGAAAGCTGAATAGGAAGACCTTTAGATTAGGGGTCTAGGAAAGTCACTTTGAGGAAGTGCCATTTAAATTGAGTCTTTCATGGATTAGAATGGAATCAAACTGTAGGAACATTCCCTAAATAACTAAATTCTTGATTTCTCATAATAGCTGGTAACATGCTTCTTACTCTGAGATTTCTCTAAGTGCCTTGTCACTCAGGAAACAGAACAGATTAGCACCTGAATATGCTGTAGTCATTGCTAGGAAAGGTATGTAGCCTGGGCTTAGTGGTAACCTACTTTCCCAGGGTCCAGATGAGTATTGACTGTATTTGGGGTGCTGAGATTGCAACCTTAGAATAAAATTAAATGACTTTCTTTAACTCTCCTGGGCATCTTTTCAAATTTCAGCACTCTCTTGCCTTCAAGACCCACCTGATTCCTCTTTCATCTGCTAACAATGATTTCCCCCTTTCAGCTCTTAAAACCTTTTCTATGTGTTTACCTTTGGATTGTTTTGCTGGTATCAGCTCCTAACCCTTTCCTAATGCTCAGGACTCAAGTACAAGGGTTACTCTTCTGAATTTTATAATACTACATTGACACATTAGTGTATCAAAGAACACTAAGATTGTTTGGGTAAGAATTACAACTTTAAAGTTGCCTAACTAGGTAAAAATTGCTTCTAATTGGGGAAGCTACAAAGAAAGCGATTTCAGCCTGAGAACTCTTGACTAGAATGTTCGGTACTGGGATGGCTGTGTGAATTAGTGCACTAGAGTCTGTCTGCTCAGGGCTGCTGCCTGATGTAAACCCCCAGTGTTCACTGTGTTACAGAGTACAGTTGCTGTGTTGCAGAATGTTAAAAACCTCAACGTGTGTTCCCTAGGCGTCGGGCTGATGGTTTTTGGTTTGCTGTTGGGTGGCAAGGAGTTTAATGAGAGATTTAAAGAGAAATTGCCAGCACCCATTCCTTTAGAGTTCTTTGCGGTAAGTCAACTTTCAGCTATTTCTGTGAGGGATGCAGAAGTGGACAGGGGGTGGGGGAACAGGGAGTTAGAACTCTTCCACTCAGTTCGGCCAAGAGAAGGGTAGAATTTGTCAAGAACTTCTAAAAATACACTGACAAGAAAGAAAATTAATTAGAATATAGAATGGATGATTTTTAAAATATAGGTGAAGACTCTGTAAATATTTTAATATGAATTATCTGTGATTGATGAAATTAGGGAAGATTTTTTCTTCCTCAATGATTTATTGTCTAATTGTTTTATAAGGAACACATGTAACTTTAATAACCTGAAAAACTTAAGCTATTTCAATTTTGAAAAGAGCAAAAGACAAAAATTCCCAAACTTTCTTGGTTCCTAGCACTCCTAGGCCTAGAGAAATACCTAACGGTTTAGGAACTGTCTAACAATTTAGGAACTGTTTGTAAAAATAATGCACATAAATTGAAATAAAGTATATTTTTATTACAATGTTAAACAACCTCAGTGTACTAATGGGATGTGTGAAGGGTGGACACTTCACAACTCCTCAGACCTTGGAATCAGATAGATACCACTGCCCTCATTTCCTGTTCACTTTGATTTTGCACAGGACCTGCTTTCTACCACAGCAACCACTGAATGCCCAGCTTTGCAAAGATATAGTGTTACCAAAAGGAATGTAGTAGGTGCCCTGGCCAGTGTGGCTCAGTTGGTTGTGCATCGTCCTGTGCACCAAAGGGTTGCTGGTTTGATTCCTGGTCAGGAGACATGCCCAGATTGCAGGCTCCACCCTCAATAGAGGGTGTGCAGGAGGCAGCTCCTCAATGATTCTCATCTTTGATGTTTCTCTCTCTCCCTCTCCCTTCCTCTCTCTCTAAAAAAACAATCAAAACATATTTTAAAAAGGAAAAAAGGAACTAGAAGTTTGCACAGTGTCTGAGAGAGGTTTTCCTTGAAAGTTCCTTCCCAGTGTCCTGGTGAGTTCCCCTTGGCACCCTGGGGCACCTTGATGCATAATTTGAGAGTCATAAGGATAAAAAATATAGATGTCTGATGGAAATTTAGCCAGAAGTTTGAGCCACAGAAACACTTGGCCAATATTATAGCTCACAAGGAAGCCAATCCCTCTGATCTTTTTCCATGCTTTGGTCTTGTCTACATCCCAACAGGACTGGCTCTAACAGTTTCAAAAGCTGTTCTCTTATTGGGGCCGGGCACAGAGTTCCTGTTTTGTCTTGGAGTGCGGCAAGAGGTTCTCAGCTCCTTTGTATGGCAAGGAAGACAGGCAAGGCTTAATTGTGAAGTAAATGGTGAAGATTGCCTCCTGGCCTGGGTTCCTGGTTCTGTCCATTTCCAGGTTCCCTTTAACAGATTCCTTCATGTTTCCCAGGGCAACAGTTCTCCAGAATTTTATCATTGTAATTATAGTAAACTAGTGTTTTTTAAATTTCTTATCTAAGTTCTCCTCAGAGCAAGGGAGAGAAAAGCCATACTGGAAAATTGGGGACAGTCTTTACAACTCTCCTTAAACACAAAATTTATTTTTTATCATGAACAAATGTTTGAGTTTTGCATTCCATTTCATAATATATCTGTTTGTGTTGACCGGAAAGCAGGTTTTAAATTATTTACCACTGCATAAAATTGATGCTCCAGAAACAAGCCATATTTATCTTGTGAATTTGAATATTCTGAGCACTCTCTGAGATGCACAACTAATACAATTAAGGGTGACAGACATAACTACGACCAACAAAAAGGGGCCTTTCATCAAAGGGCCAGAAGCACCATGCCCTTGGTCTCTCAGGCTGCTGTGTCAATAAGCTCACCTTATTAAGGGTACCCTGCAGCAGCCACCACTGTGAGGGACTGGCTCCCTTCCCTGAACAGCCCTAATTCCTTCCCGACAGCCCACTCAGAAAGCTCTGTAGCTATGGTTCTTTGGGATAAAGAAAATTGCTATTCTTACGTCTGTTATTTTTTTCATCTTGTAGCTCACTAAGAGTTGTACTTTCCATGCCAACTAAATCTATCTCTGGCAATTCAGGAAGCTGGCATACAATGACACACGTGTGTGATGGGCACTTGCACTCTGATCCTTACAGAAATGAGAGAAGACAACTGCAGGGTGCTCTACCCACACTTGGTGCTGCTCTCCTGGAAACAGGGTCAGCAGGAGGGTTGCAGATCCAAACACACATTTTATAATTATACACTGTCATCATTACCCCCCCCCACACACACACACACAATACACACTTCAGTGACCTTTATTCATGCCATGTTATCAGAGATGCATTTTACGTTGCCCACATGCACAGCCAACTCCTGAAAGGTTTTATGGCCTCTTCTGTTTGCAGCCAACTAGCCAGACACCTCAGCATGGAACAGACCAAAATAAAGAGGACAAGATTTCAAGGCCACAAGGAAACTATAGAGTCCATTTTAATTTTGCAGGGAAAGTCATTAGGAGTATTTAGAATTGCTGGAATCTAACTATAATTCTTCTTTTTAAAACTGAAAGGTAAAGTGAGAATAGGTTTGGCTTGGCTAACAAATTGAAGCTCATTTTTGTGGCATTTGAATTTTCATCTGTAAAGGACGTTTGGGTTTGTGTTTGTTTTAGGTGGTAATGGGAACTGGCATTTCAGCTGGGTTTAGCTTGCACGAATCGTACAATGTGGATGTCGTTGGGACACTGCCTCTGGGGTAGGAAAATCGTTTTAAGTAAGAGTGTGGCTTGAATAATTGATGAATTTATTATGGTTTCTACCTCCTGCTTTAGTGTTCTTACAGGGTAAAACCTCTTTTTCTCTATATATCAAATAGCTGAGGGTTTGGTTGGGCTTGTTGGTTTTCTGGGGTTTTGTGTGTGTGTTTTTTAGTGTGTGCATGGGTGGTGTTTTTTTTTTATTGTGGTAAAAAACATAACATAAAATGTACCGTTTTAATTATTTTAGGTGTACAGTTCAGTAGTGTTACATATATTCATATTGTGAAACTGATCTCCAGAAATTTTTCATCCTGTAAATAAATCTGAAACTCCACGCCCATTAAACAATAACCCTCAATCTACCTACCCCAACCCACCCTGACAATCACCATTCTACTTTTGTTCTATGAATTTGACTACCTTAGGTATCTCATATAAGTGGAATCTTACAGTATCTGTCTTTTTTGTGACTGGCTTATTTCACTTAGCATAATGTCTTCAAATTTCATCCATGTCATAGCATGTTTCAGGACTTCCTTCCTTTTTAAAGCTGAATAAAATTCCATGGTATGTGTAACCAATTTCTGTTTATCCATTTATCCGGCGGTAGATAGTTGTGCTGCTTCCACCTCTTAGATGTTGTCAACAGTGTTACTATGAACATGGGTGTGCAAATATCTCTTCGAGACCCTGCTTTCAGTTCTTTTGGATGTGAGATTGCTGGATCATACAAGAGTTGTATTTCTGACGTTGTGAGGAACCTCCATGCTGTTTTCTGTAGTGCTTGCACCATTTTACAGTCCACCAACAGTGGCATGTGGTGTTTTTGTCCTGTTCCCTATTGTTTAGCATTTACTGGTTTTTAAAATCTCTCCTTGGAAGACATAGAAATTAAGAGCAAAAAGACCTAAGTCTAGCCAGCCACTTTCTAGCTGTGTGACCTTGGGCAAGTCACTTATCCCCTCAAAGCCTCAGTTTCCTTTCCTGCCAGGTAAGCATGGTAATTAATGCCTATTTCAAGGGCCACTGAGAAAGCCACAGGACAGTTAGTGTAGCACCTGGCATACACTGTAAGTGTTCATATGCGATAATTGAAAGTTCTGTGGCTCATTATTTCAACAACTTTTCTAGTTTCAAATCATATATTACTTCTTTGCCTCATTTTTTTTCTTGTCTCTAACTCTTTAAATTTTTTACTATTCTCTTTACTTGAAAGAGAGTGACTGTGAACCTCTCCTGGTCTAGCTCTGTTCCTCTCTGACACTCTCTGGTAGTCTCTGTGCCTCTCTATGTCTCTGTCTTTTATACTATCCCTCTCACCACCCTCTTCTCTTTTCCAAAAACCCTGAATCAGATATTTGCCCTAATGTTGAAGGTTGACAGAACCTACCATATCCCATCAGACATCGCCGCTAGTCCCATCTAAGAATCTTATGGGAAGCACACGGAGCAGGAGTTGCTCTTAAGACAAAGTTCACCCCACAGAGCAAGTGTTGAAGGAGGAAGCATGCACTCTACTTCAAAACAAGTTGCTATAATGAACATGTTACTATGGTTCAAGTATAACACAGTAATAATGCTTGCTTTTCTATTTGGACTTGTAATTTATACAATACTTTAATATCCACCATTTCAGTTGCTGTTCACAATAATACTTTTGATATATACGTTATCCCCATTTTACAGATAAGAAAGTTCATTTATTCTCATTTATACAGCATGTGTTTATTGAGTGCCTATATGTGCCAATGGCACAGCAGTTAAAACCAAAAGCAAACATGTAAGCAAAAATGTCTTTGGTTTCATGGAGCTCGTATATTACCGGGGGAGACAGACAATAAACAATGAGTGAGAAGTGCTATAAAGAGGAAGCCAGGTAAGGGATAGGATGGGCTGGGGTTGCTGTTTTAGGTAGAATATCAGAGAAGGCGACATTTGAGAGACATGAATGAGGTTTGGTGACTTGCAATGAGTCCCAGCCTGGACCCAGTCTTCTGATACTCAGCTGTGCGCACTTTCCATTACATAGTTAGTCATGTGATAAACATTGGTCTTTGACTGGATCCAAGAGATAACCCTACTGAATAACTAATCACAAATAATTTGAATAAATGTAAATTCTTACACTTAGACTTCTTTTAAAAATTCACATGCCACCATAATTTCTATCTAATACTTTCCTGATTGCATTGTACCCAAACATGCTTTCCCTTTATAAGAGCTGAAGTTTTTCTTTTCTAAATAACATTTCACCTTTCTGAAACTTGGTTACCCAGAAAGCTTATCTTTCTGGAATTTTTCCCAAAACCAAGCAGGAAACAATTCCTACCTACCTATCTATCTGTGTATAATCACACTATTTCAGTTATCTGTGAGTCTTATCAGTGGCTTAAAGCAGCATCCATTTCTTTGCTCACAATCATCAATCTAGGTAGGGCTCAGCTGGTGGTTCTTTTGCTGGTCTCACTTGGGGTCCATCATTGCTGCTATAAATGTCTGAAGGAGCGACTGGGGATGGAACACCCAGGAGGGCTTCACTCACACATCTGACACCTCAGCTGGAGGGCTGGAACTGCTGAGGGCTGGCTGGCTTCTTCTCTCCACATGGTGTTTCCAGCAGGGTAGCCAAACTGTTTACTCAGGGCTCAGGGCAGGACAGAAAAGCAGAAGCTGCCAGGCCACTTAAAGCGCTCACACATCACTTTCACCACATTCTGTTGGTCAAAGCAAATTGCAAGATTTAGCCAGAGGGGAAACAGATTCCACCTCTAGATGGGAGAGCAGCACATATAAGAATGGGAGGAATTGTTGGTCATTTTGAAAGCAAACTACAATATTTATCTACACACGCATAAATCCATACACGGTATAGTGTCCAGAAAGTGAGCTATTAAAAATCCCAGTTGTGGCAATATATTCTGTTTCTTGGTTTACTTTCCTTACTTCATTCCAAAATAAATCTTTTTCTCATTCTTATTCCTCAGACCCAAAGCTGCTACCAGGCCTTCCCTCTTGGCTAATGCTTATGTAGCAAAATGTGAGGGAAAGACAGCAAGTTTTATGGTCAGACCCCCTGGGTTTGACCCCCTGGGTTTGACTCCCTGCTCCATCTTGGGCAAATTACTTGACATCTGCAAGCATCCATTTTTTTCACCTATAAGTTGGGATAATAACAGTACCTATCTAATAGGATTGTTGTGAGGACAAATGTGATGACATATATCAAGCATGTAGCACATAATCTAGGCTTTATATATGTTAGATTTCTTTCCTCTCTCCCCATCCCTTTCCTTTACCCCAGAACTTGAGACATCCCCTTTGTCACTGTGATACGACATAGTAGGAGAAAAAGGCATAGGGAATTGGGTTCTTCATGGTTTTTATTGTACTTAGTTGATGAGCTATTTGACCTTGGACAAGTTGCTTAACCTCACTAAGCCTCATTTTTCTCATCTGTAAAATGGCCATTATGGTGGTGCCTAGCTCACAGGGCTACTGGAGATAAATAAGCACAGAACTTGGTACAAAGGAAACACCTAATAAACAGATGTTACTGTAAGAATAATAATATTATGCATCAAATAATCGATTGCTGTTATTAGCCCAATGACTTGAATTAGAGTAGGTACCTTTGAAAACCTATATTGCTCCTTCCCCCATACTTTTCTAGGGAATCCCTATTTTTTCCTTTAGGACAAAGTTTTCAACCTATTAGAATGAACCACAAAAATTAGGTTGCCCATTGTGGGGCTTCAAGAGTTGCATTTTTGGCCCCTTCAGACTTCCAGAATTCCCAGGTGAGACCCAAGAAGTATAATTTGCTGCTGCTCCTTTCCCATGTTAGAAACTCACCTAAAGGGATCCTGGGAAGAAGCAGAGTCCTTATGTGAAATAACAAGGGAAAGGAGTGAGAATACCTACTGTTGCTCAGACAGTAATTCTCCTCTAAGGTAATCCTTGTCCGACACCCTCCCTGCCCTCAGGCTTTGGTTCGAATGTCTTGTGGCAACAGAGCACTCTCTCTTTCCTGTTCTGTGTCTTACTTACACCTGCCATACAGGTGCCATGAGGTGTGAGGTTACTCCTTTTCTAAATAAAACGGCATCTAATCTTTGCTGATAACCCATTCAGGTAGAAAGCTGGTACCCTGGGGTTGGGGCCTGGAAAGAACTTCTGTGTGTCCAGGAGGGCCCTCCTTTTTGCCAAACTGGAGCAAACAAGAATCCAAGCATTGATCACCTCCTTTGCAAATAATGCCCCTCTGAAATGCTCCCCTTTAGTTGCATGTTTGTTTCCCAGTGGTCACAGCACTTGGGTTAAAGTCAGCTTTATCTTTCAGGCTACTACCTCCAGCCAATCCGGACACCAGCCTCTTCCACCTCGTGTACGTGGATGCCATTGCTATAGCCATTGTTGGGTTTTCAGTGACCATCTCAATGGCCAAGACCTTGGCAAATAAACATGGCTACCAGGTTGATGGCAATCAGGTAAAAATTATTCATTTCTTACAGATGTTTCCTAATAATACAATCATCATGCTCTGCTCTGAAAGGCAAATGAACTTGATTTCTCTGTCTTGGTAGAAAAACTTGTAGTTTGATGGTGGATGTGTTTGAAACATGAATTTATTCAGCACTACAATTTTTTCATACTTTATGTGGATTAGATCATCAGAACACTGAGGTACAGAGTCCTGCCTCACCCCATGGGCAGAGTTCCAGCTAGAAAGGTGAAATCTCCAATCTGAGGTTTAGAGTTTGCCATACTCCTATTGATGTTATCACTATTTTTATTTTTTACTTTTTAATTTTATTTTTCAATTACAGTTGTCATTCAATAGATGTTATCACATTTTGAAGCTTACAGATTGAGAATAAAATGTTTTTCCAGAACTATTTTTATTCCACAGGAAGTTTTCTCTTTGGAGTATATGATTCATCACTCAAACTCCACAATATATTCTTTGTCACCTTCTTTTATAACATAGCTTCAGATAAGATATTCAATCCAAATACCATGAGCTATAATTTTGGCATGACAATGACTGTTTTATGTGTTTCTAAGGAGACTAGATGCTCCACATTCATATGAAGCACAGTGATCCAACCAGGAAGACCAAGGCAGCCCTGAGAGCAGGGCTCACTCACTGTCCCAGGAGGGCACTGCCATGTACTCATGGATGAGCAAGAGCCAAGCATTCAAAAATTGTCAATGCAATAATCCACAATCCTGTATATCTTAAACAACAAAAACATTTTATCCCTTTGGTTGCAGTTTAAAAAAAAAAAAAAAAGCATTATTTGTATAGAGAGTATTTGGGAAAGAGGGGGCTGAGGGAAGCATTTATCTCCAACACTAAAAATCCAAAGTGCTTCCCCACACACACACCTTAAATTATGTAATAATTCCTATTTTGAGTTCATACTAAACAAATTCTTATATCTGAAAACAGAAGAAACAGCCTATACTGCTGAAAGTGTGAATTATGTAGGCCATCGCGCCTTTCTTTTTAAAGAATAACCCATCTCTTTTGTGCTTTGTTTCCACATGGAAAAGGAGCTCATTGCTCTGGGACTGTGCAATTCCATTGGCTCACTCTTCCAGACCTTTTCAATTTCATGCTCCTTGTCTCGAAGCCTTGTTCAGGAGGGAACTGGAGGGAAGACACAGGTGTGTACACAACTGGCCTCTCAGGACTGGTGATTTGGGTGGTAATTATAAATTTTAATCCCTTGGTTATGTTCTGAATCCAAAGCTACTAGCCTGAAGATCTATGCTCCAGTGAGCTCTCCATAGTGACTCAAAAAAGGTATGATTGATTTAAGCAAATCCTAAGGAGCTAAATCTAGAGGAAAGCAGTATGCTCTCCAGTTAAATCGAAAAATTGAACAAAACTCCCTGCTGCCAGTCAAAGTTGAGACATAGGATGTTGTCATGAAAGCCTGACAACTTTCTGTTCCAATAGAACTTTCTGCAATGATGGAAATATTCAGTATTTGCACCATTCAGTATGGCAGCCACTAGCCACATGTGGCTCTTTTTTTCCTCTTTTTTTAAAATTTATCTTTGTTGTTGAAAGTATTACAAATGTCCTTTTTTCCCCCCATTGATCCCCTCCATCCTGCCCCTCTCCCCCAGGACTTCACCACACTATTATCTGTGTCCATGGGTTATGCATATATACATATAAGTTCTTAGGTTAATCTCTTCCTACCCACCCATCTACCCCTCCCTTCCCTCTGAGATTCCTCAGTCTGTTCCATGCTTCTATATCTCTGGATCTATATTGTTCATTGGTTTATTTTGTTCATTAGATTCCACATATGAGTAAGATCATGTGATACTTGTCTTTCTCTGTCTGGCTTATTTCACTTAGCATAATATTCTCCAGGTCCGACCATGCTATCTCAAATGGTAAGGGCTCCTTCATTTTTACAGCTGCGTAGTATTCCATGGTGTAAATGTTCGAGATGATTGATATGATTTCAGTCTTCTTGAACTTGTAGAGAGTTGTTTTGTGTCCTAACATGTGGTCTGTCTTTGAGAATGTCCCATATGCACTTGAAGAGAATGCATATTCTGCATCTTTAGGGTAAAATGTTCTATAAATGTCAATTAAATCCATCTGATCTAGTGTGTCATTTAGAATCACTGTTTCCTTGTTGATTTTTTTGTCTGAAAGATCTATCCAGTAAAGTCAGTGGGATGTTAAAGTTCCCTACTATGACTATATTGCTGTTGATCTCTCCTTTAAAGTCCTCCAGAAGTTTTTTTTTTCTTCTACCTGTGTAAGTCTTTCGTTCTGAAGTGGGTCTTTTGTAGACAGCATATATCAGGGTCTTTTTTTCTTATCCATTCAGCTACCCTATGTCCTTTGATTGGAGTATTTAATCCATTTATATTTAAGGTTATTACTGATAGGTACTTAACTATTGCTATTTTATTTCTTTATGCCTATGTATCTAATTCTCTATTTCAACCTCTTATTACAGCAGTCCCTTTAACATTTCTTGCAGTGCTGGTTTGGTGGTGATAAACAACTTTAGCCTTTTTTTTGTCTGGGAAGCTCTTTATTTTGCCATCTATTTTGAATGATAGCCTCGCTGGATAGAGCAGTCTTGGTTTCAGATCCTTGCTTTGCATTACCTTAAATACTTCATGCCATTCCCTTCTAGCCTGTAGAGTTTCTTATTAGAAATCAGCTGACAGCCTTCTGGGAGTTCCTTTGTAGGTAACAGGTTGCTTTTCTCTTGCTGCCTATAAGATTCTTTCTTTGTCTTAAATTTTTGGCACTTTAATGTTGATGTGTCTGGGCATGGGCCTCTTTGGATTCTCCTTGCTTGGGATTCTCTGTGCTTCCTAAACTTGTATGACTTTTTGCTTCACCAAGTTAGGGAAGTTCTCTGTCATTATTTCTTCAACAGATTCTCTAACCCTTGCTTACTTTCTACATCTTCTAGAACTCCTATGATGCAAATATTGTTATATTTCATGTTGTCCCACAGCTCCCTTAAACTGTCCTCCTGTTTTTTAATTGTATTTTCTTTTTGGAACTCTGATCAAGTGATTTTTTCTACCCTGTCTTCTAATTTGCTGATCCGATCCTCAGTTTCCCCTAATCTGCTGTTAATTCCTTCCATTTTGTGTTTTTTTGTTTTTTTTTTAATTTCCTTCATCGTTTCCATTTCTTTTCTCATGCTGTTGAGCATCCTTATGATCAGTATTCTGAACTCTATATCTGATAGATTCCTTATCTGCATTTCATTTAGCTCTTCTTCTGGAGAATTCTTTTGTTCTTTCATTTGAGGCTTGTTTTTTTGTCTCTCCATTTTGCCTGCCTGTTTGGATTTGTTTCTGTGTATTAAGTAGATCTGCTAGGACTCCCAGTCTTTTGGATAGTCTCTGGTGCAGGCCAATATAAAATGCTGTTTTTGACTGGCCTTGAGTACCCTGTTTGAAGTTTTCCACATTCCACAGCTTGTCATTCCCTCTCTTGGGTCTGGGAATGTGTTTGGACAGGATCAAGATGCACGCCAAGGTCTGCTTTTCCAAGCCTTGTGTCCATAAGCAAATCAAGCAAAGACTCAAAGCACCCAGAGGCTGATTGTTATCAGTCTCTTAATGAGCCTAAGGCTGTAGAAATTCCACGTAGGGTGAGGGGTTTTCCAACAGGGTAGGGCAACTATTCCCTACCCCCCCCCCCGGGAAAAGAGGATGACTCAGCACAGGAATCCAGATGGCTGCCCTCTGAGCTCTATTCCCTGAATCCATATCCCTGGATTCTTCTTACACAGCTCTGGTCCACTTTGCCCTCCCTCAGCCAGAGCCCAAGGTGAATGGCTACACACGAAGCTTTGTGCATTGGCCCTTTAAGAGGGTGCCTGCATTTCCAGCTGTCTCTCCCTCACCAAAAAAAACCAGCCAGATGTTGTGTGGGCATCTTTCTCAGTTCTGGTGCTCTGGGCTGGGAATCCCAGCTTGGGGTTTAGACCCCAGAGTTCTCAGTGGGAACCGCTCACAGCTGAGATATCCCTCCAGACCTTCAGCTGCTGCCTGTGGGAGCCCAGCCAGGCCTCTCACACCTCTGCACTTCCTACCAGTTTCTATGCACTTTTCGTCCTTGGTTATGAGGCTGCTCTCCAGCTAGTCTTCAGTTGCAGTTGGTTTTTCAGGATAGGTTTTCTATATTTAGTTGTAATTTTAGTTTGGTCCTGGGAGAGTATCAGTGTAGCTTCCACTCAGTCCGCTGCCATCTTGGAATCTCTATTTATTGACTGCAACCTTGGCATATTGGGATGATACTCTAACCACCACATGTGGCTCTTAAACACTTAAGATGTGGCTGGTGCTGCCAAGACCTGAATTTTTAACTTCATTTAATTTTAATTTGTAAAATTTAAATAGCTACATATGTCTGGTGTCCACCGCATTGGACAGCAAAGTCTTGTCTGAACTCTTCTGGCCCTTATGGGTCTCAGATCAGCATCACACATCTCCTTTTCTCCACCCCTGGCAAGAACATTTCTGTCAGGGTATTTAAGCATTTCAGCATCTGTTTAAAAGCTGTAAGAGGAACCCAAACTTCCCAAAAGTGGGAAGGAGTTACAGGTTTGTGTAATGGTTTGGATGACTTATTTGAATTCATATTTTCCTTTTTGTTTGTTTTTAATAATTATTATTTTCCAAAAGTAGAATATTTAACCGTATGAAGGAGTTCCATATTTTCTTGATGGTCCCACATTGATTATCTAAGACCAACCTCTGCTGGCCCCTTGTCTCCTAAAAGCCCCTTCCATGTGTCTTTTCTCATGCAGCTTGCAGGTTGTTTGGCCTCGTTAATGATCCTGATGGTCATATTAGCCACCGGATTCCTCTTTGAATCATTACCCCAGGTGTGTAGCTTGGACTTGGTGTGAGGTTTCTCCATGTGTACAGATTTTGCTATTTTTATTTGTTTATATTATTGTGGCTATCTCATGGTTTTTACTATGACCTTAGCAGAGTGGTGTGAGAAAGGGCCTAGGCTAGGACCAAGGTCCTGCTCCACAATCTACCAGCAACTGGGACCTTGGGAAAGCCATCTCAACATTTCTGGGTCTCAGCATAGTGGGTGTTTGGACTGTCTAATCTCCAAGGTCCCTTCTGTCCTTGATCTTCTCTGACCTTATACTGCCATTTAAAATTTGAGATGGCCTACACTCATAAGATATTTGTTTACTGATATATTTAATCTAGTAGAGATCAAGAACACTATAGAGTAGAGAAAATCATAATGTAGAAAGACCATGGGTGAAATAATTCCTTGAGTACCAAGTTTAATTTTAACCTCTTAACTATCATGCAGGTTTGCTGCTAGGATATAAGCCTGGTTTTCCAAGGCCAATTTTAGCTAACCAAGTCCCGAAATTCAGGTGTTCATGGCTCCAAATGTACCATCACTGCCATGTAGGAAGTGAGTGGGGAGAGGACATGGGGAGGGCAGCAGAAGGACAGTGAGGAGCCAGCAAAGGGGGCTGTTTGGACGCAAGAGGAGGGGAAAGTGTGGATGTGCTGTGTTTCAGGCTGTGCTGTCGGCCATTGTGATCGTCAACCTGAAAGGAATGTTTATGCAGTTCTCAGATCTTCCCTTTTTCTGGAGAACCAGCAAAATAGAGCTGGTAAGTAACAAAGGTGATGCTAGGTGATTGATCATAGCAACTCATGACTTACTGCTGATGAAAATGTGAGAATGATAAATTAGTGCAGTCAGTTGTTAAATGCAGTATACAGTTAGGCAAAGTTAGGTACTGTGTGTGTGTGTGTGTGTGTGTGTGTGTGTGTGTGTGTGTGTGTGTGTGTGTGTAACTCTAGGAAATTGTTAACAGGATTCTCCATAAAGCTTTCTGTGTTTTATTCAGACCATCTGGCTTACAACTTTTGTTTCCTCCTTGTTCCTGGGGTTGGACTATGGTTTGATTACTGCCGTGATCATCGCACTGATGACTGTGATTTACAGAACACAGAGGTGAGTGCACAGATTGGGGTGGGTGAAAGTGTACTGTCTGGGATTGCAGTATTGACTTTAAATGGATTGTATTTATCAACAGACTGAGCATCTTCATCACAGAGGCGGTGTTCCTAGAGTCCAGTATCAGGCATATAGTGTGTTCTCTGAATACTTATTGAGGGAATCCACCCAGAAAATCAGCTAACATTTGTATTGTGTATTCTCACTCACAAAGCACTTCCATCTACATGCCAAGAAGCACCAGGACATAGTAGCAAGACTGTGGAATGTCTGATCAAAGACCTTGAGACATACTCTGGATCTCAAAGCTCCCTGACCTTGAACAACTCACCTGGGCCTCAATTTCTCAAACAAACTTAAGAAAACTTCTATACTAACTGGAGATTTTTATTTTCTCTCCACCCCTTCAGTTGACTACCCACACCCTGGTCAGAAACTCCTAGAAACAAAAAGAAAACCTCTTCTTCTACTTTAAAATTAGAGTAGGAAGACAGTTCCATCTACTGAGTGGAATGAGAACTTGAGTTACATATGGCATGACTTGAACTCTACACAGTTCATATTACCCCCATCTTTAAATGCCTGAGCCTTTTGTTCTGACCAGATCATTGGTGTGGTATGTGTGTGGTGTGGTGGGTATGGTGTGTATTTGTGTATTTGTATGGTATGTGGGTGTGATTGCATTGTGTATGTGTGTATGTGAAGGGTGTGTGTCATATGTGGTGTGTGTGTTTGTGTGTGTGTGGTTCGTGTGATTAAGGTGTATTTTCTGCATGTGTGTATTGTGTATGTTGGGGATGAGGTGTAGGGTGTGTGGGGAGTGTTAGGCTTGGAATGGCACTGGGAATGTGAGATATGTAGAGCCCTTTGCAAAGACACTATATAAGGATCAAGTATTCCTGAATTCACTAGCAAATCCACACATGACATTTAAATGTGCACGACTTCATGTTTCAATTACATAGTGAGTCTCAACGCAATGATATTTTAACCCACTCACTCTCTCTCTTCAGTCCGAGCTACAAAGTCCTTGGACAGCTTCCTGACACTGATGTGTATATTGATATAGATGCATATGAGGAGGTAAGGCCTTTTCTATCATTTTAAATGGTTGTAAGCATGTGATGTGATTGGTTAACTAAATTTTATTTTTACTTAGGACAAAAAGTGGGGGTGAAAAGGAAGGAGTTGTAGTGGTCAAAGTGAAAGGACTGAATATTGATTTACTGTCTGGATTCACGTTTTTTTTTTTAACCCTCACCCGAGGATATTTTTTCCATTGCTTTTCAGAGAGAGTGGAAGGGAAAGAGAGAGAGGGAAACATTGATATGAGAGAGACACATGGATTGGTTGCCTCCTACATGCCCCGACTGGGGATTGAGCTGGCAACCTGGGCATGTGCCCTGACCAAGAATCAAACTGCGATCTCCTGGATCTTAGGTCGATGCTCAGCCACTGAACCACGCCAGCCTGGCCTCCTGCTTCATTTTTAATAGTTAAAATTAGGCCTTAAAATTTCCTTGATTTTGAATGCTCTTTTCTTACATGGAATCTCAAAGGACTTTTACAAAATCTTTTAAAACTAGTGTTGTCTGGTTGTTTTGTTTTCTGTTTGGGAAGAAATTCTCAGACTCACCATAAGGCATGAGGGATGAGATTGATGCTGGGATTACTGTTTCCTCCTCCTCTCAACAAATTATATGCTGAATTACTTGTATCCAAACTGCATTCTAGAGTTCAGGGCTTCGTGATAAAATATTCACTCTGAGCCCTGGCTGGGTAGCTCAGTTGGTTAGAGCATCGTCCTGATTCACAAAAGTTGCTGGATCGATCCCTGGTCAGGGCACATACAAGAATCAACCAATGAATGCATAAATAAGTGGCACAACAAACTGATGTTTCTCTCTCCCTCTCTCCCTCCCTCTCTTTCTAAATTCAATAAAATAAACCTAAAAAATATTCACTCTGTTTCACTTGGGTCCATTTCTACTCCTGCCTGCATTTCATTTATTCGCCTGCTTCTTATAGTCTAAATATTTTTCAGTTCCTTTTCTTTGTGTCTTATGGTAAAAGTGAAACACAGAAAGTCTGTTAAAAGAAGTGGGAAGATGTGCCTTTTTTAAAGGCTTCTCAGGATTCCTTCCTCCAGAGCATGAGTAGAGTGACATTATTTTATCTAAACACTATTAAGAGGGCCCTTAGCAACCTCTGTATGAATTTTCAAGTTGGAGGAGGGAGGCAATTGCAGTTTTAATTCTGAAATATTTATATGTGTTAAATTCACTAACATTTTATTTCTCAGGTGAAAGAAATTCCTGGAATAAAAATATTCCAAGTAAATGCCCCAATTTATTATGCAAATAGTGATTTGTATAGCAGTGCATTAAAAAGAAAGGTGAGTCACAAGAAATTAATTTTATACTGTTTCTCTGTATGTGTGTGTGTGTACATATAACCTTTCTAAAAAATTTTTGTGAAAAAATAATTTTAGATTTCTTACTCTTGGAATCATATGGATTCCTTTGGTAATGATTAGAACTCAACCTCACACTGCCCAGTTTATAAGAAAACCTCACAATCGACCCACAGAGTCTCTTAAATATAAGAATCTGAGAAATCTAGGTTTGAAAACTACTTTAAATTCTCTTTAATACGTTTGCTTTTGGTTGTCTTGAATCAAGACCAAGAATAAGGAAGGGTACTAATGTTCGTGTAGTGAGGGAGTAACTCAGTTCATTGGATCTGAGGGAAGGGTAGAGAAAGGGTTGGGGTGATAAGTTGGCATAGAAAACCATAAAGTGGGGACATTTAAAGATTAATTGTATTCAAGTGGGTTCTTGGGCGCCAAGAAGTGATTTTGCATATATTGCTCTTCTGTAAAGACGGGAGTGAACCCAGCACTTATAATGGGAGCAAGAAGAAAGGCCATGAAGAAGTATGCTAAAGAAGTGGGGAATGCAAACATGGCCAACGCAACCATTGTCAAGGCGGTGAGTGGTCTCTTCATCATAATTTTCCCTTCTCTCTTGATCCATAGTGGCCCTCACCTTTATTCATGATTGAAGTTTTAACACAGCATGAAGTCCCTAAGATAGGAAAGCTTAGAAACAATCTAACTATCCTTTATGTATTAAAGATGCATGATAAAGTGGTTATGCGAATGCTTCTGAAATAAGTAGTGATATGGGCCCAGGAAAATACTGTTTCAAAAAAGTAAACATCAAACAGTACCTTAATAAATTTTATCATTAGTACCTGGCCATAGATTCATTCAGCTTATAGTCAAAAAACTCAGAGGATGGTTTTTACTGTTTAGGCTTATGGTAACTTATGGTCTAGCATCCTGAAGTTAATGGAATTATTTTAGAAGTTAGGGGAATATCAATATGATGACTAAATAGAGTGGATTTCATTGAACAAAAAAAGGGAAAGAAACTGAGCTAAAATTGAATGTTATGTACACATCCTTTTTGTCACATTACAAGGCTAGGATATGGCAAATATTTTAGAAAAAATCTGGTATAGTCAGTAGCTTGAAACTCTAAGGACTAATTTTTCCTTATAACTCTGAGGACCAAAATATGAGCTGTTCATTGAATTCTGGTGTGGTTTAATTTTTGACAGGATGGAGAAGTAGATGGAGAAGATGCTACGAAGCCTGAAGAAGATGATGAGGAAATAAAATTTCCCCCAATAGTCATCAAGAGCACATTTCCTGAAGAACTACAAAGGTTTATGCCCCCAGGGGACAATGTCCACACCGTTATTCTGGATTTTACCCAAGTCAATTTTATCGACTCTGTTGGTGTAAAAACTCTCTCAGGGGTAAGCATCATCGTGAACAAGTCATTTACTCTCTCTCTGCCCAGTTTTGCCATTAGTAAAATCAGAGAGTTGAACTAGAGTCCCTTCCCAACTATTAAACATTTTTTGTTTTTGTTTTTTTCAACTTTTCATCATGGAAAATTTCAAAAATAGAAAGCATAGTGTAATGAATATCCCCCAGCTTCAACAATTATCAATTTATGGTCAACCTTGTTTCATTTGTCCCCCACACCCACTTTTCCCTTCCCTTATTTTGAAGCATATGCCAGTCATCACATCATCTGTAAATATTTCAGTGTTTATCTCTACAAGAAGATTCTTTTCAAAGTCATTACCATTATACCTTTATTACACCCAAATAAAATTTAACAAGAATTCTTTGTATTCCTAATTATCACTGTCCATATAAAAATAAGAAATATACAATCATTTTTAAATGGCTAATTAAAAAATGCATAATTATTGAAGCAAAGTAGTTCAAGTGAATGTACTGAAGTGTCTTATATTAGTGAAATACATATTGGTAAAAAGAAACTTGCATCTGGCACAGTCAAGGGAAACTAAACTTTATTTCAACATTATTACAGATTGTAAAAGAATATGGAGATGTCGGTATTTATGTGTATTTAGCAGGATGCAGTGGTAAGTACACTTCTAGAATGAAGAGAATTACCACTTTGTTTTGGTTTCTTTTTTTTAGTAACTGCATTTGCAAATATTTCCCCCTAATTTTAGTTTTTGGTGAAAATGAAAGTTTCCTTCTGAAAATCACTCTAAAGCTAGCTTTGAAATTAGCCACTTACAGGCACCCCTGTCACTGAGATACTTGTGGCGGGCCTCCTGAGCCGCAGTTGGCAGAGACGAGCTAATAAACTATTGCTCTATGCTGGTATATTTTTTAGTAATTATTTAATGACTGCCATTAACAGAGTTACATAAAATCATTTAGGTTTTTCCATACAATGCCTGCTTTCTTGTTTTATATTCAATTTTGGTTAAAACAGTGCTTGAAAATGAACTCTACATAATGGCAAAAATAAGAACTGCTTGGTCACGTGCTCTGTCAGCATCAGGCACTCTCAGACCTTGCTGGTGTGAGTGCAAAATGGAACAGCCTCTGGAGGCTTTCAAAACCACAAATGCGTTTGCCTTTTAACCCAGCAAATCCAGCAATGTGCTACACACATTCAGAACAAGACATGTACATGGTTAGTCGTCACAGTACTGTGTAAAAACAAAAGGCTGGAAAAACTCAACTATCAAACACAAGGGACCAGCTAAATCAACTAGGCTACATCTACAAGATCAAATATCATATAGTCACAAAAAATTAAGTGAAAAGATTACATTTTTTAAAAATTTAGAATAATATATATAGTATGCTTTCTTTTGGGTAAGAAAAGGGGGGAATAAGAATAAATGTTTATATATTTACTTATATTTGCATAAAGAAATACTGGAAGAATGCACAAGAAAATAATGAAAGTAGCCACTTGAGACTGGGGTGTGATATCATGGGGACAGGGATTGGAGTGAGACTTTTTATTATATTATTTTAATATTTGAACTGTATGAAAGCATAATTTTTTAAGACTGATACCCAGAATGTGGGCTAATTTTATTTTCTTCTTTTTTAGCACAAGTTGTGAATGACCTCACTCAAAACCTATTTTTTGAAAATCCTGCCTTAAAGGAGCTGCTGTTCCACAGCATTCATGATGCAGTTTTAGGGAGCCAACTCAGAGAGGCACTTGCTGAACAAGAAGCCTTGACTCCTCCGCCCCAGGAGGATTCAGAGCCCAATGCCACTCCTGAGGCGTGAGGAACTCAGCCTCTCCCGAAATTATTAATTTACACATTTTAAATACTAGATGCAAGATTTTTTTTTTTTCTAGAGGTAAATACTAGTAGTCAAGGCTTGATTTGGAGGGTGAATGACGCATAGCAAGATGTATCTTACTTGTGTGTGTTTTTTTTAAATTGACTATTTCCAAGATAAATTGGCCTCTTACCTGCATTTATTGTGCAGTGACCTTTCTGTTACTTTTTAGTATTATCTTTGTCAGCTAAGCACTTACGAATATTTCTTTTTAAGTACTTTACCTACAAATCAGAGATGCTGTCACCAGAAGGGTAGTGGTTCTTTGCTTTTGTACTTCCTGCTCTACAGACTTTCTTTAATTAGGGTTATTGAACAGAGGTGGCATACCCACAATTTTCTAGAAGTTCTTTTAAAATAAGCTTTGTTTTTATAGAAGCAACATAAGTGCATTACAGAAAAATAGAAAAAATAGATGAGTAAAATAAAAAAATAAAAACATTATGTTGCCACCACTCAAAGATCATCGCTACCACCTTAATGCACATACTTCCAGATCTTTATGAATATGCATTTACATCTTTGAACCAAAATAAGGTCATACTCTACATAGTGTTCTGTAACCTTTTTTTCCCCCACAATAAACAATCTCCATTTTCTCATTCCAGAACTTTTTTTTTTTTAATATATCTTTTTTGATTTCAGAGAGAGGGAGAGGGAGAGAGAGAGATAGAAACATCAGTGATGGGAGAGTCATTGATCGGCTGCCTCCCACATGCCCCCAACTGGGGCTTGAGCCCACAACCCAGCATGTGCCCTGACCAGGAATCGAACCACAATCTCCTGGATCCTAGGCCAATGCTCAACTGCTGAGCCTTGCCCGGCTGGGCATCGTTCCAGGACATTTTTACCATATTCAGATTTCTCCCACTTGCCCCCAAATTTGTAGTTGGTTTGTCTAAACTAGTATCCATTCTATGACCTTACACTATAATTGGCCATGTCCCTTTAAGTCCGTTAAGCCTATCTTAATCTAGCACAGTCCCTTTTTTTATGACATTGACTTGTTAAAGAGACTGGGGCAGTCGTCCTGTAGAATCCCATATTGTTAATGTGTCTACTTGCTTTCTTAAGGTGTTATTTAGCTTGTCCTTTATTTCCTGAACTACCTGTGATCTAGAAGTTATATCTAGAGGCCTCATGGATTTGAATAAAACAGTTTTTGCTAGAATATATCATAGCTGAGACACACACTTCAAATTGCATCACATCAGAAAACAAATCATATCTAGTTGACCCTACTATTAACAATGCTAAAATAAACAATGCTAAAATTGGATTAGCATAACAGCCTAATCCCCCAATTATGTTTTCACCTTTATGACTAGTGAGTTACCTGCTTGGTGTTCCTATGGCATCGAGTGAATTCCCAGTTCCCCATTAGCCATTCAACCAGGGGTTTTAACATCTAGTGATAATCCTTGCCTAAATCAGTAAATATTAAGGTTTGTGAATTTTTTCCAATTTTATTTCTTCTGCATTATTAATTGGTGTTTATGTAAACTATAGCTTTCCTTCCTCAACTTGAGCTATTTAGTCATCCTTAAAAACTGGAAGGGTAGGTTTATTTTTTCCATTTAATTATCAACTTCCAAGTAAGAAGTCAGTTTAATAAAAAGATAGTGACAAATTAGGTTCTTTTAGATTTCTGTTTTGGTATAATTATAGACTCATGAATTTTTATATTTTTAATGTGTTTCCATCTGTTATTCTTTTTGGTGCTAAAATTGTCACAACTGACCAGTAGGAGCCCCTAGGACTCTAATAGTAATAGTGATGTAGCCTTAAAGACCATGTATTTAACAAAATAACTCCTAAGTATAACTTAATATTTTCCTTAGAAGTCCATAAGAGTTATGTTAATTCTTCATCCAACTCAGTTTTAAGCCTATGAATGAGTAAAATGCTTATTTCAAGCACTCTACAGTTGTTCCAAAGGAGTGGGGAGACTGTTAAGCCAATTTGTCATCGAAGGTTCTTATTCTTAATAGTTGTAACAGGTCACTAATTCAAAGCACAAATATTAGCTAACCTACCTAAAGCCTCCCCTGCTAAGATTTCCTGCTAATAGTCAGTTTGTCTTTTATTGACTCCTTGTTTTAGTTTTCCTGAAGAAAACACTGCCAGGAGAAAAGTGGTCAGATCCCAGGAAAGGACTGTTAGCATTAGTCTACTCAAAACCAAACTCTATGGTTTGTTTGTTTTAATTCCCATGAGGTTTCTCAGTAACTTTACTAGTGTAATTCAAAGTAGACCTCTCCTTTCTAATCAATTATTTCCCTAGATCTAGAGTAAAATTATATTTACATCCAGTTATTTCCTTGGTATTCATCACACGCAAGATCCGATACATCTGCATTCTGATACAGACTGCCTTCTGAAAGAGCATGTAGTTGTAGAACCTCAGCTTATACTAGAAACTTTTGTAAAAGGGCCTGCATCATTTCGGCCATTAAAGTAGAACTTAAGGATTTTAGACAATGTTATAAAATACTTCATTGCATATTCCTTATCAACAGCCTTCAACAAACGCTTAACACATAGTAGAGACTCAAGTCCTAGTTGTTGATAGGTTGAAATTAGTGTACAAAAAAAATATTTATCTATATCTTACAAATTTGTATTTAACTTTTCTGTCCTTTAATGTTTAACCTATTTTGAATAGAATTCTACCATACACTTAAAAAGCACTTGTCTTACTGAAGGGAAATGTTTTGTTTCAACTTGCCTCTGAGAATCTGAGTGCATTTCAAAATGTATTTTATCTATATGTCAATATTTTGGAATGTTTTACTTAAAATTATTTCATATAGTGGAAAATTTCTTGACCTTTTTTATGTAGCCTAGTTTTGTCTCTACCTTCTTTCTGGATTATAATAGCTGCTAGTGTATTGCTTTTTATGTTTTTCAGCCCTGATTCAAATTCAGATTCTTACTGCCCTATCAAAATGGGCATAATGTACATGATATAGGGACTAGCCTTTTTTATGATAGTAGGGGAAAGCCATTTTCAGGAAGGTCCCATATAGAGAAATGTTTGGTCTTTCTGAAATCCTGGGTAACATGACAGTGGTTATCTCTACCTCATGGATGGATGGAATGTTTGAGAACAATGTGAACCAGGGCTCAGGAAACTCCTAGTTCATGTCATAGACAATGACTCTGTGTAATCATATGGCAGCTGATAGTGGGATCCCAATTGCCAATGTCATCTGCAGTGGGACTCAAATAGTGAAGGAAGGATATGAATCCTCTGCAAGCCCTGGGAGTAGCTCCTTTGTAGTTTTCAGGTAACATCTAAAATATCCACTCCATGTGGTTTGATCCTGTATCCTTACCTATTTAACAGAGAAAGGAGGTGCTTGCCTCCAAAGGTACAGTGTGAGAAAGTAAGTCTGCCCTCGTGTGTGCATGGGGAGGGCAGCAAACCCAGAGAATCTGCCCTGGAGTGAGTAGGTGTATTTTTTGTTTTAGGGGTTGGGGGTGGGGGATGGTGTGCCCTTGTGTGGGGATGAGGGAGGGAATGGTATGTGGTGGGGAAGGCTTTATCTACTGTGTCTGCCCCTTTAAAGATAGTAAATCAATTTAAAGATCCAATAAAACTTACTTGGTGTGAGCCTGTATGCTTTAGTGAATGCAAAAATACTGTTGGTCCTTTTTAGTGTACCTTTCAGGAATCCTTTTAGGATTCAGTATATTTAGATTCTTGATAATATGGTTTGAATACTGACAAAAGTTGATATGAGAACTGAAGTTGATATGAGAACTGATATGAGAATTAGAAGTATTATCTAATTCTCCAAACATATAGCCAACCAAAATGTATGAAATGGTTTTGAAACCCCTCAAATCCCAACAAAATGTTCAAAAGCTAGCTGCCTGCTTACTGATTTGGATGTAATCAAGTTTGAGCATCTCACAAACCCATCTTGCCTTTGAAAAAGGCCTACCAACTTTTTCATTATACTGGTATATAGCATTAACTTTATGTAACAGATGAACCTGACATTTGTGGAAATTCAATTTTTATAAATCTGATCACATTTTTAATTTTTTTTTTATCCTCACCCAAGGATATTTTTTCCATTGCTTTTTAGAGCGAGTGCAAGGGAGAGAGAAAGAGAACAATCGATGTGAGAGAGACACACTGATTGGTTGCTTCCTGCACGAACCCTGACAGGGGCCAAGCCCGCAACCGAGGTGCATGCCCTTGGCAGCATTCAAACCCAGGACCCCTCAGTCCGCGGGCCGACACTCTAACCATTGAGCCAAACTGGCTAGGGCTGATCACATTTTTAAATGTTAAAAATAATTTTTAAAGTATCACTACAGTATTATTTCTCTAGTCACAAACCCTTTGTATTCTGATTTATCTGTCAGTACCCTGACATGTATAAACATAAACATGTATCTCTAGACACATATATACACATTTACATGCACATACACATTTTAGGTGGAGTTACTAGTGAATGTATAGTTTATCTTTTCAAATATGGTATAAACATGGTAATCTAGTGTTGATACTATCTGCATATACATGCCTGGGCAGAATCACCTACATTTTTCAAATAACTTACTGTACATTTGATGTGTGGCCAGTTAGATTTTTGTCCTGTAACTGAGATGTCAAGATTCAAAGCTTATACCATGTCAGGCCTGAGTGAGGTCACATATCCAGTTTGAGTTGTCTCACGTTGGTGCATATGATGTGAGTATGTGGCTATGTGAAAAAGTGGTAGGCCTTCAAGGAGCATGTTCTAAATGCTTACATTTATCAAAATACTACAAAAACATACATTTTTAGTCCCTCACTTGACCATATTTTATTATAAGCAGAACCTACAAATGGTTTGCTCTATTTTATATCTCATGAAAGACTAGGGCAGGCTTAGGGAAAAAAAATTTTCTGGTAAACTTCACAAAAATGAAAAAGCAAAAAAGAAAGGATGTGTTTAGATTTTATGAATAAAGGGCTTTAATTATTCAGCTTGAAAACTTTAAATATTTCAATATTTATAGCATTTTCTATGTTGTCAACTTTCTCTTTTGTGAATTAAAATGTATCCAGCTCAATTTTGCATTACTTACGAATATTGAACTGCAATAAAAACATTCTTTATTGTGGTTGTGTCTTAGTATTTGGGGAGAGGGGGTAATGGGGTGGAAAAGGGGATTTGGTGATGTTTGTAAAAGAAATAATTTTAAAGAGATCTGTTGAGAATGTTAATGTAATCTGTATTTAGACCAGAAGTCTAATAGGAGCTTTACCAATATTTAAACTATTAATTTATAAAATGGAAATACGTACTTCTCTGTATGAAGCCAATTCTGGATTTTCTAAATTATGTGTATACATACTTTTCTTTCTGCTTTACTACTTCACAGGTCATTAAAACCAGCAATTCTTCTTAATTTGAAATCAAGTCAAATAGCAAATCAAAACATATTACATCAGATGCTTCTTCCACTTTAAAAATATTTGACCTTGCCCTGGCCACCTGGTTCAGTTGATTGGGACGTCATCCTGTACACCAAAAGGTTGCAGGTTCGATTCCTGGTCAGGGCACATACCTAGGTTGTGGGTTCAGTCTCTAGTATG